CTGATGTCTGAGCCTAGGGTCTTGGCTGCTGCAGGGCACAAGTGCGCAGCGACGGTCTCCTCGACTGGGGGAGAGCGCACGTACCCGTGGGCCTCCGCCCTATCCACGTGGGAAAAAATGGCCTGTGTGGCAGAGTAGACGCGCGCTGATTGGGGCGCAGACCATGTTTTCACCAGCTGCTCATGTATGTCGGGGAAGAAGGGGACCGACGTCCTCGAGTCAGCTTTCTGGGTGGACCTGAAATACCAGGAGTCAAGCTTACTCCTGGCAGGCTCCTCTGGAGGACTCCAGGTAAGCTCCAACTCCTGGACAGCCCTTGACAGAACCCTAATGAGCTCCTCCTGGAGGTCTGGGGGCCCCATGCTGATCGGACTCCGATCCCGCCCAATCCTCCCTCTCCGAGGCCGAGATGGACATCGAGTCATCCCCCTCCTCCTGGCTAAAGGACACAAACTCCGCGATGTTAGAAGGAGGGCGGCAAGACGACGCTCCCGTCACCGGGAGGGCCCACCAGTGGCAGCAGTGGGCCCCATCCCGAATAGGCCGCGAGCCGCATCGCGGCTGGTCCGGAGCACGTGAGCCGGAAGGTCCGCGCAATGCCCACAGTTGGACTCGTCCAGCGCCGCCTCGGCGCGGGCCAGGCCCAGGCAGGCGACACAGTAGTCGTGCTGATCTGGCGGCTCTATTGGTCCCGCGCAGATCTTGCAGATTGTTGCCATAGAGAATTCAACAGGTGAAGTAGAAGATTCTAACGTAATTGTCGCGTGCACAGCATTTTATACTGCCTCTCGAGCTTGTCAGTATTTGCAATTGGCCAGTCATTTGGACTGGCAGGAGCCAATAGGACTTCAGGAAAGGTTGGAAGGGAAGGAGTTCCCATAATGGAGAAATATCTCGGATGTCGCACTGGGACGTTTTCAGGAAAATCTAAAAATAGATTTTTGTCAAAATTAGGTTTTCATTCAATTATTATTCTATAACATCTTGTCTATCATCTCTTAAAATATCTTGGCGAAATTCACTTGTTTAGTGCAGAAAAATAGCGATTTATTGCAGCAAGCACAAAAGACGGTGTCTTTCTCTTATGTTAAGAACGCGCTGCGGAGGTCAAAAACGGTTAATCTATCAAAATAAACCATGTAACATATATAATAAAGGCACATTTCCCGCTAGTCCTGTGTAAACTACGGCACGCAAAGTTTTTTATTTATTTATTTTTTAATATCGTGAGATGGCGGAGCGCAAGAAAGTAGCTGCTCATTTAAATTATCTTGCTCGTCTGCTCAATCTTGGTGATGTCAGTGCTCTAAACGATGTTATAATGGACTGTTTCACATCCAGAGATGAAGGATCGAATGATGATGTTACTAAAGAGGAGGAGTCCGATGACAGTCTGTTATATACGCAGGTGCGCGAACAGTTGCGCTGTGCTCGCTTTTCTTAATGTAAACTACAAGGTACACTATTCGTGCTATCTAAACATACAAGGGGTGATGAAAAGTTCAGAGACTATGCCCATCATGATAAACAACGGAAAACTGTCCTCTTCAGGGTAACGTTAATCTGTTTGTGTAATGATGCTGTATAGCGCTCCTGACAGACAGCTCTTGTTAAACCCATGAAGTGAAAGTGTCTCACTTTAAACCCGTTTTTCTCAAAATTCCATTCCGGAAAATCATAGCTATCAGCCAACTTCAGATAGCCATAACTTTTGTTACTTTCAGGTTTTTTATTTTAACGTTTAAATTTTTATGGAAAAAGTCAATTAAACAGTCCTGTTTTCATACTGTTTTAGTCACCATGACTTTGACCAAATATATTTTAGACCAGATGCTATTTTCTTTTAATTCTACTATCACCGTAGCGCCATTTTGGAGAGTATCCACTGAACGCAAACAGCGTATGCTGTTCTGTGTCAGCCGCACCACATGGATACATTGTTTTCGTTCAAATCAAAGCGTAAATAAATGTAGAAAACGTATCTGTGTGGATACTCTGCAAAATGGAGCTAGGGTGACGCGGAGAAGACGAATTGTCGAATAAAATCTTTTTTTTTGTTTTCTTTGCATACAAAAAGTATTCTCGTAGCTTCGTAAAATTACGGTTGAACCCCTGATGTCACATGGATTATTTTACCGATCTCGTTGCTACGTTTCTGGACCTTGATTGTTTCACTCACATTGCTGTCTATGGGCGGGCCAGAGAGCTCTCAGAATGCATCAAAAATATCTTAATTTCTGTTTCGAAGATGAACGAAGGTCTTACTGGTTTGGAACGACATGAGGGTGAGTCATTAATGACAGAATTTAAATTTTGGGGTGGAGTAATATGTCCTGGTTGATCAACTTGATCAGTAAGGTCCATTCCTACCATATTCTGCTCTATTTCCTTCCAACCCTCTACGCACACCTTAATCGCCATTGGCTAGTAAATTTTTTTGTTTACTCTCCAGACGGATATACTATTTTACACACACACACACACACACACACACACAGGTTTGTTTTTGTGAAAAGTGGGGACATCCCATAGGCGTAATGGTTTTTCTACTGTACAGACCGTATATTCTAGTGCCCTGCACCAACCCTACCCCTAAACCTACCCCTTACAGGAAACTTTGTGCTATTTCAGATTTTCAATGCACTCCATTCTGTGTGATTTATATGCGTTTTGAAAAGTGGGGACATGGGGTAATGTCCTGAAAAGTCACCTTCTCCTTGTAATACCTATGTCATACCCTTGTCATTATACACATTTATGTCCTCATTTGTCACAAAAACGCACACACACACGCGCGCGTTTACTTAGCTATCTAAATGGGGACATTACATAGACTTCGATTGTTTTTATATACAGATAGTTATACACTTTTTAACCTAAACCCACCCCTACCCCTCACAGAAAACTTTCTGCATTTTTACAATTTCAAAAGTACAAAAAAACTGTTTACTTTATTTTTATAACAGTTTTACAAATGAGGACATCCACAAATTAAGGTTTTTGCCGATTTTGTCAGGTTTTGCTCACTTTTGGGTACAAATTTGTCCCCAAAATATGGTTAAGTAGGCACACACACACACACACGATTCCACCCAATCAGCTTATCTTTGTAAAATGGAACAGCTTCTTAAATAACTGAATGTGCACTCTTAACTTCAGCCAATCAAGCATTATATTATGATAATTAAGCACTATTTAATGATAGAACTAGTGATTAGAACTAAAACTTGATAACCATGAATGGATGCATATTTGTCATTTTAACTGAACTTAGGACTGGTGGTGGTGTTTAAGATATTGTTGGTCATAGATAATAGTTATTATTATTAATAATTATTAATAGTTATAATTATTATTAAAAGATACTACTACTACTACTACTATTATCTGCTGGGTTCATGAATATTAATCATGTTGTCAGCGTTCGCTCGAACTGATTTGCTGAAATCAAAACAGGGACTGTAATAGATGAGCGCCAGCCAACGAGAGCTGTTTGCGCATTAGCTCCGCCCACTGCCGAGAAACCGGCATATCTTCGGCTTGTTCTTAAAAGCTGAATAATTCTAAATGAACTCTGTTATTTTGACAGGAAAATACAACAAAGAAAATGGTTTACATGTAGGGCGTCGATTCAGCGTGGTATACAAGACTCTCGCTCTCTCTCTTTGCATGCGTGAGAAACACTGCGCTATCAGTAAAGTGACGGCGAGTCATGCGCCTTCACACTAGTTTACGGTACGTCAAATACAGGTGTGCTGCGTGCTACACACAGCGCATCCATTGAGTACATGACATGATCCATTGAGCACATCCAAATAGTACAGATCGCTTGACGGAGAGCGAAACTCTCAAGCGCTCAGTCAGCGTGTTTATCGAGTGAAAATCTGTGTTGAACGCCTCACACACACATACTGGCGTGTAAAATCTAAGAATTTATTAGCCAATGACTAATGTTAGATATCATTTAGTCACCCAGAGTAAGATTTAGTCGCATATGCGAGTGAGTTATTCGCAATGTAGAGGGTTGCCTTCTAGATATCTATGTGCTCCATAGGCTTTCCTTTCCTTTTGTCTACTTTTCTCTTCTGACACACTTTGTCCCATTATACCTATTATCTGTTGAACCTCCCTAACTGTGTCTGGCTTTTTAAACTGATTTGTCCTTTCTTTTATTGATTGGGTATCTACTCTGCTGCCTGCAGGAATCCAAAAAGCTAAAAACTCTACAGCATCTGTCATTAGGGCTGGGCGATATGGCCAAAAAAATTATCACAATACAATTTTTCATATAAGTCGATATCGATAATCATGACAAGTTTCAAACTTTTATTTTTTTTCCAAGTTTTCCAAGGCTGATTTTTGCTCTCAAGTGAAAGTTGTAAAAACCAGACCATTAACTGTAGTTTTAAACTGCTCTATTGGCAGAACATGACACATACTTTATTTTTGTTTCCTTTTGTTTTATCAAGGATATTTTTATCGTTCTATCTCCCAGCCCAATCACTCTTCCACTTTTTCACTGCAGTCTTCATCTGTCTCATCTGCGCTTGATGTTGCAACATGCTCTCTTCACCACTGAGTACCCTCTTGTTAATCTTTGTGGCTGATTACAGAGCATCAAACTCAGAAACCTAACTTTCCCAACTGCTGCTTATTCATCCTATCTTGAAGTACACAAAGGAACTATTGCAAGTACTCTCCAAAGCATTCAAGCATTTTTATACTAAGGCATATATGGCATTAACCTAAAAACAAACAAATATTATAACATTGAAACCGGTCAATAGCAATGTCAATATCCAAAACAAAGGACACATTGTGGACTGTCCTTGTTTGAAGAAGAGCACTGAATTGTGGTGATTTGAATGTGGTTTGGTTGTGTCTACTGTTTATTGAATCGGATAGCATTATGACAACCATAACCACAGCACTTTTGTGTGGTTAATGACCTTTTGTCATCCAGTGTAGGGTGGTATTAAAGTGTCTACTTTCTTTTGCAGGTGCGTGTGTGAGACGTCTGTCTCTGCCCGCTCTGAGCTCTCCCTGATGGGCAGCTGGTCCTGCAGTGCCGTGCTGCAGATGTACCGAGCATTGCTCCGTGCAGGCCAACACCTACAGTACACGGACCGTGACTACTACCGGCGCGCAGTGACCCGAGAGTTCCGGCGCTGTCAGACCCTCAGCACCCCAGCAGAGAGGGAGGACGCGCTGAAGAAAGGCCAGTTCTTCCTCAACAGCGAGTTGGTGTAGAAGAAGTGGTCCATCAGCACCAGTCTGACCGCTAGCCGGTAAGAAGGAATTTGTGCATCAGAAACAATGTAGGCAGTCGCAGGATGTGCATGTTGTGATGTTTTTTGTTGTCAGTTGAGATGAAGTTAAAATAAGATGTTATTAGAGTTATTAATAGTAATAATTTTATTATTACATATTATATACATATTAGATGGAAAAACTTTCAAATTTGAAATATTCCTTTGGCACCTAATTAAAATAAATTGAAGGACTAAAATTATCAACTAGAAATAAATAAAAACTAAACCTGACTTAAAACTAGGGATGCACTGATAGGATTATTTTTGGCCGATACAATACCGTTTTTAACAAGCAACTATTGGCCGATTTTGATACCGATATTGGTCAATTGCATAAAGCAGAGCTTAAAGGTGCAATAGGTGATTGTCTTCAGAAACATTTTTTGTTATGCTGGTTGAAAGTCTCTTCACATCCCGATAGCAATCATTAAGTTAAGTGGTCTAAATGTATTTATCTGTATTTATATATTCTGTGGAAGGCGTAGGACAAAGAAATGTTCGTCCAATCAAAACGCTCTGTCCGAGCGTTTTAATTGGCTTTCCTACCTGCCTGTCAACGTATGTATTAGCATACCTCTGCGCACCCGGTTCGCGCAGACAGGATACGTCATCAGCGCGTTCATGCACGTTGTGCAGACAGAACGAGAATGGCAGACAAACATCAACAAGCCAATCTTCCTTCATGGTATTGTAGTACTTTTACTAACTGTACTATAACATTTTCTCACCGGTGAATGACACATGATGTAGCCCAGCGGTTCCCAATTCCAGTCCTCGCACAAGGGAAGCAGTGGAAAACTGTTGACATTTAGAATCAGAATAAGAATGAGCTTTATTGCCAGGTATGTTTACACATACGAGGAATTTGTTTTCGTGACAGAAGCTTCCACAGTGTAACAGAATGACAGTGACAGAACAAAAAATAGAACAACTAAATAAAGAATAAAAATATATAAATCGACAATTGTATGTGCAGGTATATTACAATAGACCGTTTTGTATGTACAGGTACTGTATATTATGTGCAAATTTTAGGTGTAGACTGAGTATGAGGGTCTCGCACACTTTAATGCCCTTTATATGGAATATATTCGCTCACTTCGAACTGGAATCATGGCGGAATGTCTGGTGATGTACACTTCCCAGGGCACTTACGGTCGAATAGAACAAACGTCGCACGTGATAAGAGATGCATATGAAATGTGCAGAGCAGGAGGGTGCGAGGACTGGAATTGGGAACCGCTGATGTAGCCTATTGTAATGTTGTCTCTGGTACTCTGGTCTGCGAGCGTATATGCTTTCAAGGGGCGTGTCTTTGGACGGCGATTGCAGGGAGGGTGGGACATTCGTTTTCAGTGCTATCAGGCTAAAGTTAGCATTTTCCAAGATCTCCTACAGCACCTTTTAAAAACGAGAGAAAAAAAAAAAGATTGGTTCACTCCTCGCAGAATCAGTATTTGAACATTTCTGTTCCTGTGTTCCTCTGTGAAACCGGTTTGAGTAGAAAACATACAGGTTAATAACGTTATTTTTTAAAACTTTTTCTTTGCCAATAATAATAATAATAAAGTACAGCGTTTAATTTACTCACGACAAATAGTGAATTTTTCATTGTTTCTCGAAACTTCATAGCATTTCCACACCGGCGATGACATGACTGTGGCGCCAAATAATTTATGTCCCCATGCATCACGTACGTCGTCACGCGTTGACGTCATCAAATTTTGATTGGTTCGTGAGATCGGCCAAGTGTAGGGAGTACCGATCGAGTCATAAAATGTGCTTATCGGCCGATACCGATCTCCGGCCGATCAAGCGGAGCATCCCTAATTTATACTAAATGGAAATATTAAAAAATGTTTATATTTATTTATTCATTCATTAATTTGGCCGACGCTTTTATCCAAAGTGAGCAACCGGCACCACAAGGTGGCAGCACCAGCGACTTTTTCTCTGTCATCACAACTACCTGCTACTACCCCATTTCCTCCTCCCACACAAGCATCAGATCTGGTCAATCACTTAACATTTAACCTTAAATGATGGTTTCCCCAGCATGACCTTGTCTAGTGTTTTGTTTCTGCACTATAGTCCTGTCATTGACATACGGGTGCAGGTTGTAATTCTGCTTCTCTCACACTAATTTATTAATTCCTGTCAGGATTACTGAAAGGCAGTGTGTAATAACTAAATCTCCATGCAGTCCACACAGAAACAATCTTAAAACAGTTAAAACTATGTCTTCCATCCCTGCGGCTATATCTGCTTAATTTTGTCTACTCAATATTAGGTCTTTGGACCAATATTTAGCCTTCGTCTGCCAGGATTTTATCATGACCAATAATATAGATTTTTGTCATTATCACAGAGTCCTGGATTAATTCTGATGAATGTGCCCCCCTCATTGAGTCATCCCCCCTCTAGATTATTCATTTTTTCACCAGCCAAGACTGACCGAGGGGGAGGCCTTGCAGTAATTCACAGAAGACTCTTTTGAGAGTCTTATCTTTACTTTAAAGTATAAACTGCCCATTTTATGTGTTTAAATCTACCAGCCCCCTGAATCTATTTCCGGTTTTATTCAGGAATTTTCAGACCTTGTATCAGTCATTATTCTGCATTATGACAGATTTCTTATTCTTGGTGATTTTAATACCCATGTTTGTTGCCCTTCTTCTTTCTTGTTTACTTCTGATTTTATTAAACTTTGAAACTTTAATTTGACTCAATATGTGAAGCAGTCCACTCACGATAAAGGACACATGCTTGGCCCTGTGCTCTCCTGGTATCTGTGTGGATGATGTGAACTTGATTGATTTTGCCATTTAATTTGCTCCAACCTCCTAAATTCACTGTTTCTGTCAAGCTTTTTACTGCCTTAAATTTACTGTAACACTAGTGAACAACATGACCTCTCAGTTGTTTTTAACAGCTCTTGCAGAAATATTCTAGATTCTGTAGCTCCAGTCAGAGTTAGAAAGCTGAAACCACCTTCTCTACTGTGGTTAAATGAAGAATTAATAAACCTAAAGAAACTAGTATGCAGGAAGGCAGAACGAAAGTGGAAAAAGGATAAACTCAGTGTATGTCTTGCTTCTCTAAAAAATCTGATGTTCACTTGTCAGTGTAAAATTAAAGAAGCAAGGAACACTTATTTATCTGACCTGGTTACTAAACTGGGATACAATCCCAGAATCCTTTTTTTTTTTTAAACCATAAATTATATAATTGGCTCTGTGTCTAGCCAGCCAGTTCAGTCTACTCCAGAGAATTGTGGGGCTTTTCCAAATTACATTTATAAAAAAATTGTGGATATTTGGCAGCATTTTAATATTGATTTCTGAGAACATGATGTTGACTCCTGTTCAATGAACATGTTGTACTTTCAAAATCATCCACCTGCCCTTCTGACTGCATTCCCACTTGGTTTCTAAAAGCTGCATTTTGGATAGTTTACCCACTACTAAAGAAGGCCTCTCAAGACCCCTTTGATTTAAGACACATCTCCAAGTTGCCATGTTAGAAATATTTTGTCCAGATTTTTAAAAAAAATGTGTCCATGCAACTGACTTCCTTTATGAATAACAATCTAATCTTTGAAAAAATTCCATCTGGCTTCCACTCACAACATATTGGTCACTAATGATCTACTGTTTGCAGCTGACACTGGCTTGTATTCCCTTTTAATTCTTCTTGACCTCAGCTCAGCCTTTGACACAGTGGACCATAATATCTTAATCAACCATCTGAAGACTTGTGTTGGTATCAATGATGTGGCTCTGGATTGGTTTATCTTTTATTTGTCGAACAGGTCCTTTTTTGTAGTGCTTGAAGATGCCCCCTCCTCTCATGTTTCTCTATTTTGTGGGGTCCCTCAAGGATCTATTTTGGGTCCCCTTTTGTTTCCTATTTACATGTTACCACTGGGTCAAATTATGCATAGTCGTGACATTGATTTCCACTGCTATGCAAAATCATGGCTAAAAGGTAAAATAAGTGTAATTTACATTTTCGTATGTTTTAATATATTTTACGTTCTTTATATCAAGCCCTGCCATACCTGTTAATCTCTATCTAAACTTTTTTTTACCAATAGCAACACAAGCTATTTGAACAGCACTTAAGCTTTGCATTTTGTAGTTGATGAGAAAATCTGTTTACTGTCTTTTTTCCCACTTTCTTGCTTTGTCTCAGGGAGGTAAAAGATCAATGGCAGGAGTGAATGGGGACCGTAAGGGAAAGAAAGATGACAATGGGCTTGGCACAGCCATCGACTTTGTGCTCTCTAATGCAAAGCTGGTGCTGGGGGTCGGGGGAGCAGCCATGCTCGGGATCGCCACACTGGCGGTCAAAAGAGTGAGTACAGAAACAAGCTGTAATGGTCTTTGAGCCTGTGGGTGTATTAAAGGGGTCATGTCATAATGAATCACATTTCCAGTGATCTTGAGAATTGATGAGAATTACTATGAAAACTTCCAGTCTTTCTGACCTTTTATTGAAACCGAGCAGCAGAAACGACTTTAGACCAAATGAAATGTTTATTTTTAACAGTGTCTCTGATCATTTCAGTTTGACCTTAACATTGAGTTTAATCAGTGTGGATTATTTTATGAATGTCACAACTCAGCTTTGCAAAGAGTATGGAGAAGTGAACTTTGTTTAAAGGGGTCCTATTATGGTCTTTTACAAAGTCTTGATTTTGTTTTGGGGGTGTACTAGAACAGGCTCTCATACAAGGTTGTTCGAAAAACACATTATTTTTCACATATTTTACATTATTACAACACCTCTCTCTGTAATGCCCCTTACCATAGCATACCACCGCCTGCGAGCTTCAGTGTAAATATTTCGTCAAAATCAAATCAATTTGAGCGCGATTTAAACCCGGATGATTGTAACCACTCTAAGTTCGTCTGTCTTGGGAAAGCTAGCGTGTTCTCTAGTGCAGCTCAACCAGGTCTCATCCCATTCATCGATATTTGTGATATCACAAATCCCGGAAAATATGCGTTGTGGTTTTTTAAAAAGGGATTTCTGTTAAATAAAATATCTCCTTTTGAAGTGGACTTTGAGCTTTGTAACTTTGCAGATCTTTTTTATGCTCAAACAGCAACATTACAGACTAACTAAAGTTGAAAAAGTGAAAAAGCATAATAGGACCCCTTTAATATCCTGTGCAAGAGACCTGCACAAGTTCTGTAGATTATTTCACATGTAATGAAGGTGTTTTTTAGAGGAAATCTTGTAAGTATACCTCATGAGAGGCAGAAAAAATATTCCTTTAAAAAAGTCCATGCTTTGTTTCCAGCACTGTAGATTTATTATTATTATTATTATTAGTGTATAATTGAGTTTGGTTTGTCTCAGATGTACGATCGAGCACTCAGTGCCCCATCCAGTCCCACTAAAGCCGACCCGTCGGGACGAAGAAGCTGGGAGGAGCCGAGCTGGCTGGGGTCATCACCACGGACACTGAGCATGAACATGAAACAGAACATCAGCCGCTCTCTACAGACGCTCCCCACCTCCTCCAGCTCCTTCAAGCCAGGTAATGAATCTCTGGTGCCTTGCATAATTAACATCCTGTACTTTTATATGCAACAACCATGAAAAAAACTGGCTTTTTAAAAACTTCCTGATGACCACAAACGTTATGTTTTAGTTTTGTTCCATATTATTGAATTTCCTCTTTATAGATTGAGGAGTTTTTTTTTTTTCATTCAAATTCTTCATTTATTTTTAATCCGGGGCCATCATGGACACAGTTTTTCCTAGTTTATCTTATCCTAACCTGTATCCTTATTGTTTACCAGGCTTGTACATGTTGGAGTGTCTGCTCTACTTGCTCAGTGGGTATTTAAACCCTTCCTTAACTAATACACTGTAGGTTTCTGTAGACCCTTCATTTGTTGTATGGGCATTAGGGAGATACATAATCATTTTGACTAGTTGGTGACATGTCTGAATGACTAGTCCTTGTGAAGTAATCATTGAACATTTTCAAAATCATCCTCACTAATCAATTGTTTGTTGAATGACTAGTTCAGCATCCTATGTCATCTATTCTCCAACATAGTCCAAGACTAGTCTCAATCTGTGTCTGGAAGACTAAAGATTGTGTTGCTTTAGGCTGAGTTTTGTGATGAAGTAGAATTATTCTTCCAGGTTTTGACCTTTGGAAGGTATGAGAATGTTTTAAGTATGCTAAATTGATTGTCATAAGTATATTGTGCTTTCTTCTTTTGTTTAGATTGTTTACATCGTGTTATGGGCCGTGGTGGTGGCCGTCCTGGTAAGGCTGAACTCCAGAAGGCACGGATGCGCCTCTCGCTGCAGGAACACCTCTGGGCCTTCTTTCAAGAGCGAGTGGCGATCCCTTCAGAAGAGCAGGCCGTCGCTCGGCGTGCTGCGTTGGATATCTGTGCAGAGCTCAGAGTCTTTCTCCATGCTAAACTGCCTGATATGCCCCTACGAGAAATGTACCTGAGCGGAAGTCTATACGATGACCTTCAGGTGAGAACAAGTGTGATCAGTTCTGAGAGCGTTTTAATTGTCACATAATAAGCAAGAGTATAGGGCCTTTAATTGAAGTGCTTTTAATCTACAGTTTTGAGTTGGTAAGATTTTAAATATTGTTTAAGTTAAGTCTCTTCTGCTCACCAAGGCTGCATTTATTTATCAAAAATACATAAAAAAAACATAATATCGTGAAATATCATTACAATTGAAAATAATTATTTTCTATTTTAATATACTTTAAAATGTAATTTATTCCTGTGAATGAAAGCTGAATTTTCAGCATCATTACTTCAGTCTTCAGTCACATGATCCTTCAGAAATCATTCTAATATGCTGATTTGCAGCTCAAGAAACATTTCTTATCAATGTTGAAAGCAGTTGTGCTGCTTAAAGGGGACATCAGATGCAGAATTCACTTCTACATGGTGGTTTGCATATAAATGTGTCTAAGCAGTGTGTGGACACAAACACCCTACAATGATAAAAATCCATTCACTCCTATTTTTTAAACCCCAAAAAACCTAAACGGTCTCAATTATCAAGCCGTTCTGATTTTCTGAGCAGTGTGACGTCATACTGCTCAAGCCCCCCCCACAACCACTGACGGACTGTCACGTATTAGCATATTTCCGCCCTCAGCAAGTTGTACCCTGTCCGCCATTTTCTGTGCGCTCAAGCAACTATAGCGACAACAATGTCTTGTTAGCAATGCAGGGGTTTTGACCCTAAAGAATCATACCAACTTGTGGAAAATGGGCATCCGATGTCCCCTTTAATATGTTTGTGGAATTCTATCAAGATTTTCTGATAAACAACTCAGAAATGTTGGATATGATGTTATTTAAATGGTCGACACGGGTTATTACCACACTGCTGAAACCAGATGAAGATAAATACCTGAATTAATAATCAAAACACATCTTTAGAATGGCTAAACAAAGAGCAGATGTGATTTTTATTGTATTACAGCTGCCTAATAAACCAAGGAAACCCTTGCAGACCTCCTTAAAGCTATAGAATCATTTAAAAACACGGTTTACTTTTTTGAGGCTGTGGGTTATAAGGGGAACTGAAATGATGTACAAGAGCCTAAAAAAACAGACTTCATAGACATATTTTAGTATTTTTGTATTGATTGTACAGATGTAACCAAAAACCAGTGTAAAACTATTTGTGTTTCTTGTTATGATCATTCTTTGTGCTTGGAGAGTGACGTTTGCTAGAACAAAATATACAATAGGCTACGTCTCTGATATGAAATGCCAAAACTCGCAGGAGATCTTGCGTTTATGTATTGAAGCATTTATTTTGCTTGCGTAACCAGAACTTTTTACATTTACCTGGCGAATGATGTGAAAGGGCAGCACAGAATCCAAAAGTAGTGCAGTTCAGCTTGGCCTAGTATTTTGCATGTGATGCTTGTGTACTCGTTTCTTCATTTCCTGGTGATTTGTATTTTTATTCAACGGCAATTTGTATCATTTCTGTGCCTCGGGTCTCTGTGCTGCAATACAGAGCAAAGGATGAAAATAAAGTCGAATGGAGTGAAACTGTATTATAACATTATTGTGAATTATTTGTGCAAGTCTCTGAGTCCAATAGCTGACATAGACCAATGTTTGGGGTCAGATTTTTATTTTTGAAATAAATTTATACTTTTAACAAGCAAGGCTGCATTGAAAAATTACAATCTTTTAAATGGTAGTTGAATTAGCATAATTTTTTTAATTAGATCTGCAAATCAAATTAACCTCAGTGGTATGACAGAATTTCAGCCAAAGGTAAATATTGATATGTTAAATGTAATGTGCTAAACTGACTCTAGAGGTCATGTGATGGACGTTTTGGATCATCACAGGAAACCGAAGATGACTTAACACTATCACAGTATGCAGGAACTAACCAATGTCTTGCTTCTGTAGGGCTAGAGATGCAGTCAACCAATCAAATCAACTGCTTACAAATGACAAAATAGAAAAAGTGGAAAACCGCCATCAGTTGAGCAGTTTAGACAAGAAAATCTTTCAAAGTAAATTCAACTATAGTCAGCAGAGCACAAACCAAACAAGCAACTACAAACAAAACTTTATTTAACTTCAGGTTTGGTAGAACTTTTGCTGCGATTTTGCTGCGTTAAATGATCAGACAATAAAGAAACCAAGTAGTCTTGATCAGCTTTAACAGAAATACAATTCATTTCAGTGTGATAAATTGAGTATGATACACCAACATTATCTAAATGGTTTACACACACAAAAGTCAACTGACAAAAACATATGAATGCCACAAATCCAAAATACAATTCATCTACCAGCAATTTATTCAATCTTTATTAAATTTTCTACAAAGATAATTAATAGCTTAATTATAAACTAAAAATGCATAGTTTTCATTCATCTATTGAAACAGTGCCAAATAAAAACAAGCAAGGCTTCAAGGGGAAGTACAGACCATCCCTAGCTCAACAAGTTTGTCTCATTCTTTTTCAGTTTTGCTTTGAGTTTAATACTTGGAAAAACATGTCCTGTAACGCAGGCATTTGTTGATTTTCTTACATTGCATATTTCAAATTGTAAAAGACTTACCAACTTCAACCAGTGGTTTCTTTACTGCTAATGGCCCATTAGGTCCAGTACAATACAATGTGATTTTTATCACTCTTTTAATTTAGCAGGAGCAAAGCCCACACGGTCTGCCTCCCTGTCAAACACAGTGTAGTAGCGGCCAATGAACACATCTCCCAGAATCCACAGCGGCCCGGCGGGGGGTGGGATATCCATTGCCATAAAGCCAGACAGACAAACACTCACACCCATGTGAGTCATCTGAGAAAAGATAGAAGTGAGTTAAGATTGATTTACAGTGTTCAATTAATCAATGCTGCATTCATTTCCAAATCAGTTTTAATCAACGTCCTGAGATTTGATTAGATTCCAAACATAAAAGCAACAGAAATTTATTTATTTTAAATTTTTCTTTTTTTTCCCTCAGTGTACAATAAAAAGAAAATCATCCTATGCAATGTGGTCCTTGAGTTCAACCAAACATGAAGATTTGCTGAATGTTTACTCACTCAGGCCAACCAAGACAAGTTTGTTTCTTCATTGGAACAGATTTGGAGAAATGTATCATTGCATCACTTGCTCACCAATGGATCCTCTGCAGTGAATGGGTGCCGTCAGAATGAGAGTCCAAACAACTGATAAAAACATCACAATAATCCACACCACTCCAGTCCATTAATTAACTTCTTGTGAAGTGAAAAGCTGCATGTTTAAAGTTCAGGTTGGATTGGTTTCTTTTAAACATGCAGCTTTTCACTTTAATTGTTGGACTAGAGTTACTGGTGGATTATTGTGATGTTTTTATCAGCTGTTTGGACTCTCATTCTGACGGCACCCATTCACTGCAGAGGATCATTTTTTCTTTTCTTTTTTTGGTGACTTATTTTTTTAAATGGATGGAGACAGGCATGTATAAAGGTGAAGAAAATATATCCCAAACCCTTACACAATATATAACATTAAATTCTATTTATTCAAACATTCACATACTAATTGAGCAACTTATTCTTCCAAAAAGGTGACGTCATATACACACACAAAAAAGCATTTTTTAGCCACCAACTTAATCTTTCACGTCAAGGAATAAGGTAATTTATTCCATGAAATTGCACTTCTATGTAAAAAGGACTTTGTATGTTCCTCTGTAACGTCCCTTTCCAACCTCTGCAGAGTAAGAGGAAAAACCACACCAGATTCTGTAAAGAGGGGGACGACGCACCTTCAGAACATAGTCCTCTCCAGTTAAGTTGAACATCTTCCCTCCCAGGCTGATGGAAACAACAGGAAGTGATGGAATCCTCTTACAGTCAATCCAGTACTACAAAAGAGGAAATGCTCACTTTACAACTTCCTCAATTTATGTGGGAAATACATGGCAATGAAAGTGTCAGCAAATTAAAAGGAAATAAATGACAAAAAAAAAAAAAATCAAAATAAAAGAATTTATAAATAAAGAATAAATAACCATTATAAATGATTTAATGTATACGTTTTGATGCAGATGTATTTTAGCAGGAATGCTCCTCACCTCTCCCATGAGCAGTGGTATGGCTCCGATGGCTTTCTGAAGCGCCCGCACCTCTTGAACCGGCCCCGTGATCATTGATGTTCCCGTGTCAACAATTGCCTGGCATCCATTTTTGCAGAGGGTAAGCGTGCCACCCACCTGAACTCTGTTGGAAAACAACCAATATAAGCAAGAAGTTGTTTATTAGCCAGTTTGCAGCCACCATAAACACTGACTGCAGCAAAAAAACATTCTAGTTAACCAATATTAATCTGGCTAAAAACCAACATGGCTCGTATAGTAATGGTGATCACATACTCATCCATCTTTATCTGCCAGTAGGCTTTTTGTGTGACGTTGACGTAATGCAGATCACCGTCAAAATACTGCTGGTCAAAACCTCCCAGCATCAGCTCACCTCCAACTTCACCCACGGGGTCCCTACACATACACGCAACATTTATTAACAAGAATTAGCATGTGCATTAAGCCACTGCGATGACAGTCCCTACAACGCAAGTGATTTTAAAATGTTACGCATCTCGGTCCCCAAAATGTAGGCAAAGCCTGACCCACATGTACACGTTTTAGTCATGAATCATTCAGTTAGTAAAAGAGGCTTTTTATACAGACAGAACAATTGACTATAGTGTGATAAATTGGCTGTAACATGCACTTGCGCTTTGAAAAGCAAGAAAGAGCACTGCTCTGCACGCAGTAATAGGCGTCATGCGTTATCGTTTAACACAAGAATAAATACAATTCTTTCATGCTGAAGGTCACACTATCAGTCTACATTTGTAGCCACATTCTTCACCATTATAAAACTGAAATGGAGAAGAAAAGAGAGGAACCTCAGATAAGGGAAACAATGTTGTTTCCTTTCCAAACTCTCCCATGTCAATATTAAATGTCCACCAAGTTGCTAAACAATTAGAAAAAACAGTCAAATGAACCTAGAAATTAGCAAAAAAAAGAGGCTTACCGGTTGATATAAAAAGAGAAGATATTCTGAGGCAGGAT